GTTTTTTTTTTATTTATTAGGATTATTACACTTTGGGTGCCGAGCTTGGGGCGCGGCATAAGGTTAGCTTTTATTCATTTTCTTATTTATTTTTCAATCTATTTTGAACCCCTTTTTCCAAAATCTCCCCCTCTCTCTGTTTCTTCGCCCCTCGAGCCACTATTACCAGTAATTTGTACGAGAGCAGTCCGACTACCGAATCCTCGCCCGAGTTACAATTTGACATGACCCTTATTATCTACCATTTTTATTGACAAGTTTGAACATGAAAACAAATCAGAGGTTAGATTTTCTCTACCGAAATTTTCACATATAAACATTCAGTCATTATCCAAATGTACGCCGCTTTAACTATCTCTTTAATTTTCAACATCTCTTCCTTGAACCCTTCAGTAGATAATGCGCGTGCGCTTTCCACCACTTCTTTAAGAGTACTTTTCTCTTCCATTTCCTCTTGAAATTGTCTACAAGATGGATCATGCAATGACCTGGATACGATCCCAGGAATACAGTTCTAATTGCAGTTGGCAAACCCTTCTAACAATCACAGAGGATTGTTAGGCCTGGTAAGTTTATTACTTCCTGAAGAAATGCCCAATTCAATCTCTCTAAGATCCATATCCAACTTTCAGTGTGCTCATTCTGTACCACTACAATCGCAACAGGAAACATGCCACCATTAGCATCTACGGCTATTGCAGCTAATAGGATCCCTAGATATGTTCTCTTCAAGAACGTCCCATCTAACCCTAACAGTGTCCTACAACCATGCAGAAATCCATTGAGGCATGGACGAAAGCTTAGAAATACACGCTCAAATCTTCTATCCTCATCGGTTTGTATGACTGATATAGTTCCAGGATTAATGACATTTAGTTTCTCAAGATAGATAGGTGATTCAGTATATGATTCCACTTCTGAGCCCAGGATCATTGCCCTTGCAACTTCTTTACCATGCTAAGCTTGCATGTATGATAATTGGACTCCATGATCCCGTTGAACGTCATTTGCAATATCTTTAGCCTTGAGTGTCTTCTGATCTTTTAGTCGAGGTTTATTCCTTTTTACAACCCATTGGCTTCTTTCTAAGGGCTAATGCGTCCTTCCCACTGGTCCTCTGCATGTGTGCTCATTTATAAATTCTCTTACCTTGAAGAATTTTGATTGTCCGACTCTAGAGCACTGCACATACCAAGTGCAATCCAGTGCTCCTTTATAGTATGCATACACTTTTTCTTGATCATTTCTACGGTACTTCATCACAAAATTATGATATATCGTGTAATCAACTAAATGATTACATAAATCCACAACATTCTCAAAATTCTATCCCACAACTAGGTCAACTCGTGGACATGTTGATATGATGAATGGGGGCTCTAAGGGCGTTGTGTCGTCTACATCACGTTCCATTACAGGCTCGGCCTCGGGTTCAGACCCCTGCACTGTCACTATGTTACTCGTTGTGGGGCCATTCATTTTTACAAAATGGCAGCTGTGACAAAAAAATTTCAAGCATTTAGTAGGTATCGATCCACATGTAGTTCAAATATAATTCGAATTCATTAAAATATAAATATTGAAGGTCTTTTGTCACACATACGTATCTCTTGTTGATGGAGCAGATGTATGAACAAAGGGTTGATGCTCCACTGGAATTGGTTGTGATGGCTGGTTTGTAATACATAGGAATATATTGGAGGCCACCATCGGCATACACGATACATCCCCATCATCTATTAAATCTACTAACTGCTCTTTTTCTTCCTTCATAATTTTCAGACTGTTTGGGTTAGAGCTCAATATAGATCCTATATGAGCCTTTAATTGTTGTAGTGAGCCGCCTCCTTTTATATTGTGGCTTTTAAGTTACCATCTTTATAAATTGTCTGTCTATCATACTCGTTACACTCAAAATAAACACCACAACAAACCAATAATCTAACTCCATTAGTGGCCATGAATGAATCTAGTGACCAGAATTAATATTATAAAGTCCACATAATTGGTATTTTTAATACCGGATAGTTTTTTTTTGGTTTAAATGCACAAAAACCACTTATTTGGTTTCGATTTACCGAACGGAGGTAACTTGAAAGAAAAAAAAAAACACCGAGGTTGACTTCAAAAAACAAAAAAGAAAAGAAAAGAGAGGGCCCAACGGGTGGTGCCGGCCGTAATTTGGAACAGACCCGTATCGCCCTGTATGTAATTTTCTTAAAAAAAAAAAAGAAAAAGTTGGGAATGGATAACTGAATAGGAGAGAGAAAGTGGAGGGACTCCAACGAAGAGAGAGAGATCATCCATACCATGCAATAAGAATGGGAGCTCCCTCTTCCATGCACTTCTCCATTTCCCTTCTAAGACACCCTCCTCCTTTCAATGTCTGCAACTCCTCCACCATTTTATGCAACGCTTTCTATTTTCCCAAAACTGCCCATCCAATTCCTCTGCTCCATTACTCTTGCTCATGCAAACCCATAATTCGTGCTCAGAGAAGCTTCATTCGATCCCATACTGTTGTTGCTCGAAGCAAGCGCAACAAATCCGTTGATTCGCGCTTCTTGGATGAGGATGGGGCGGTGAAAGATATGGATGCTTATCTCAATTATCTCTCTCTAGAATATGAATCTGTATGGGACACCAAGCCTGCTTGGTATGATTTCACTCTCTCTCTCTCTCCTAATTTACCTTTTAGGGTTACTCTTTTGTTCATGGTGCGTTTTTGGGCTGTTAGCCGTTGATATGCTTTACTGCATTCTATTTTTTCAACAGAGATGTGCTATATGTTCTTTGTATTTGAGTGTTTGGTTTCTGATATTTACTTTTCCCAAACCAACAAATTTGAATACCAGTTAGTAGAAAAAAAAATTAAAATTTTTTTTAAAAAACAAGAAGGAAAAGGAAGGACGATGAAGATGGAGGAGTTTGAAGATAAGAGAACAATATGATAGTCACCATGCCTTTCACTGGTTAGAAGTTCAGGGACAAAATAGGATTAATGGATAGTCCTCCCATGAAATTGTAAGCATAATTGAGGAATGCAACAAGGACCAGCTGCTGGTGTTGTTTTAATTTTATTTTCTCTGGTAGTGGGTTCATTATGCAGTTCCTGCCCTTAAGAGAGAGTAGTCAGGCACCCTTTCAAGTAACCTTTGATGAGGAGACAACTCACCAAAAACAGTACTAGGTAATTCATTTTATGTGACATCCTGGAATTCAAGTAGCATCAACCACTAGGGTACATTTCTCTTTAGGCAAAGAGCTCTCGTGTTTTCTATGATATGTTTTTTTTCTTTCAGGTGCACCAAATTGCTTAGGTGTATCAGGAGAGGACCACCCATGAAGCATTTTGTATCCATAAGGAACTTTTGAAGTTCATTTGATGGGTGCTCTTTCCTAGAATCTGGTCTAAGAACTTTTAAATGTCTTTGTGAAATGGGACTTTCTCCATCCTTTGATGCCAGGTCAAAGTCAGGGTATGAGAGAATGCTCACGAAAATAATGTATAACAAAGGATTTCTATACAACTTTATTCTAGGGTGAATTTGCCCGCTACATATAAGAGTTTAGGGAAATATAGTTATAGGCAAATAAGAAAAGAGACAGACATGCTACACACTCTTACATCTAAATGTAGAAGATAAACCTTTGGTTTGCATTTCAAGAACCTAGTATGTCTTCTGCCTATCTATCCTTAGAAGGCTCAATGAAATGGGAACTGTTGGACTTTCAATCAGCAAATTTGCATTCTATTCAAACATGAATCAGCAATAAACTCGGCAACCAGTTTTCGAATGGAACAAATTAAAGGAAAATCTCCACCACCCAATGCTCAAGGGGTCTTTGGGAATTCTGGAAGGCTGAGGTTTTTCGCTTCACTCATATATCTTTTTCATTGCTTCGTACTGACCCTTGCACCATCCAAGGAAGAAAGAGAAAAATGGGTAGCTGGCTTGACGGTTGTTGTGTTGACAATTGCAGTACCCCAGGATCGAATCCCACTTCTTGCCTATCTCTCCTCACCATCACCAGAAAAAAAAAAAAAAAAAAGAGAAAAGGAATGAACAAACAAAAACGAACATCCATGGGCTTTGACAAAGGAGACCAGGCTTCTCGCTCCTGATTCTTCCTCCACCGTTAACCTCCTCCCATGCCATGCATCGCAGTTGACCTCTCAAACTTCCAGTGGCATTCTTCTCTATCGAAAATCCATACCTTACATGTGGTTCCCATCAATGGTATAAATTCTTCAACACCACTTCTTGAAACTTATGAAGCCCAAGTCTTGCACATCCCTTCTTTAAAGATATTGTGTGGTTTGTTGCTAGCACACCAATCTACTACTGCCTTGAAAGCTGACTCATTGGAGCGTGGAAGTGTGTACATGTTGATTCTCATGGTTTTGTTGGTTTGCATGCTCCAGACAAAGGCTATAGAGAGAATAATTTAGCTCAACAGTTGCTCTTTTTGAAATTCCCAACTTGTTGCTAATTTGCAGTAAATTTTCAAATTTTTTTATATCTAATTTTTTAGGACACCCTCCATTGTTCTATCCGTGCTATATGGTATTAAACTATGAAGTAAATATTGCATATAGCTTCTTTTTGGTGATTGCATTGTTATTTTGTTGATGTTATCATGTTAGTGCTTTGCTATGCTGTTTATTTCGCTGATCCATATAGTTTTCTGGAGTACCTATCTAAATTGAGAGTGATTATGACTATGTTATTTGCACTGGTTCCTCGAATTCCGTCCTCCTTTATATTCAGATTTCTTACCACTCTTATCTGACATACATAGCTTCACAATCTTGAAAGGTGTCAACCATGGACCATATTGCTTACGGGGGCGGCTACAGTCACTGGTAGCTGGATAGTTGTTCACTCTGTGGTATTCACAATGTTTGTCCTCTTTGTGATATGCACATGGTGGTACATCTTTTTGTACTCTTATCCCAAGGTTTGACGGTTTCCCTTTCTACTAATCTTCCTTTAGTATCATGATTCATGTTTGCATGTCTATTATCTCTTTGTATCTGCTCATTTCTTATGAGATAGCAATTTCAATTATGATGCTTCTTCAAGGTTTGAATTTGCATGTATATTTACCAATATAGGTATATTTCGTAAAGTTCTTTAATCATTCCAGTTTGTTCATCATGCTGGCTGTTTGTTTAACATTTTAATCTAGACATAGGGTTATTCAATTAATGACTTTATTTTAGTGTTTCTGAACTTTTTAAATCATGGTTTTTGTGGACTCTTGGAATTAAACCTTGCACAAAGTCTAACTCTGTTTAAGTCAGCACTATCAAACAGAGAGTGATGCCTGAGAGCCTCTTAGGGGATGCAACCATCCACTCTTGCCACTAATCACTTCTCATTCTCATCCTCTTGGGTTCTCCATTTTTTCTTTATCTGATGTTTGCCCAAAGAAACCAGACTTCAGATATATCCTTTCCATGGCATGAGCTTGCTTTCAACCACTCTTATTTTCTCTCTCAGTTAAGAAACTTATGGACCACAGACCTTACAGATTCTTAAACTCAAAACTTATATTGAAATACATATGGTCTTTCTAATTTACACTTTTACCAGTCAAATTGGACGGTGGAAATGAATTGTTGCATGTGTACCCAAGCCATGTTCGAGAATGAGACCCTACAGCAGTGGGCATGTGTAAGAGCCCACGTCCTCCACATCACCTCCTCTCTTTTTATTCCTAGAGGCTTAAAGTATGGGCAAGTGTAGCCTAGGACCCCACCAACTCTTTGTTACTTAAATCTTGAAGATATTGCTCAGGGACTAGCCCATGTTTTAGTTGCGGCATCCATGTTTTGTCTAATATGTAAAATAAGTTAAAAGTATACCTCCTCCTCAAATATGGTAACCCAATATGCTTCCATTCTGGTACCTGTCTCATCCAATATCTTGAAAGCTATCCCGAAGGCTGAAAACTCTAAGAGCACGTTTGATAACTGGACCTTCCAGCTCGAAAAGTTGGAAGTTTTAGTTTACCATAGCACTTTTTTTTGTTAACGGTAAATGCCGCAGGAAACTAGCTTTGGAAGTTCTGGGTTCTCAAGAAACGAGAGCCTGCAGCTTCCATTCCCCCCCCATGGAAGATTGTTATTCTGTTTTTTTTTACCAAGATCATCTCTCACCTATATTTGCTTTCCCTGTCCTCTCTCTCTCTCTCTCTCTATAATTCCTTCGAACTCCCCCTCTCTAACATGCCCTCTCTCTCTAAATCCCCTCTAGCCATGTCATTCATCTCCCTTTCTCCTTTCTTTCTCTAAATGGGCCTTTCTCTCTCTAAATGTGCCCTTTCTCTGTCGAATACATTTCTCTCTCTTAACTCCTTTTTTTTTATACAAATCCTCCCTCACTCACCATGCCCTTTCTTTCTCCAAGTGCTCTCTGTCTGACCACACATTTTCTCTCTCGTAACTCCTTTCATTCTCTAACCATGCATTTCTTCTCTGTAACTCCTCTCTCTAATAGTTCTCTTTCTATCTATAACTCATCTCTCTCTCTCTCTCTAAGTCCTTTCCCTAACCATTCCCTTTCTCTCTCTCTAACTCATTTCTCCCTCGAACAGTGTCCTTTTCTTTTCATATGTTAATTGTTCTATTGAGTAAGCAGTGTAGTACAAGTTCTCAAAAAATAGGCTTCCTATAGTGTCCTTTCTTTCTCTAACAGTGCCCTTTGTCTCTCTATATGCCCTTTCTCTCTCTAAACATGTCTTTTCTCTCTCTAAATACTTTCTTAACTTTGCTTCTTCTCTCTCTCTCTCTACTCTCTCTCTCTCTCTCTATATACGTACTCTACGTACGTACTACGTAGTACGTACGTAGTACGTA